TTCTCAATTTTGTTCTACTTTACCTGATGACCACTCTTAAATTCTTATCTAGATTTTCCTTATCTTTGATAGTACTTTAAAAATAGATTTCTTGGCTTTTTTTCTCTGTAACTTTCCTTATAAATACTCTCAGCATTGTTCTTTTTAATTATATTTTAAATGCCATTTAAAAATTATTTTATTAATTTTAATGAACGTTTACAGAGATTTTTAATTTCCATCCTTTCATTGTTGTGTTTTTCTTCCTGTCCTCCCCTGCAGTTTGCCCTTCTCTTTGAAAAGTAAAAGAAAAATTCCTCAGTATACAACCCCCCCGACTAAAATTTTTTAATTGTCATTTTAACAAAAGTTTGCAGAAAAGTTAAATTTTCATTCATTCATTGTTGCACATTTTACCCCCTCTCCCTCCCTTCCCCCTGCCCAAGATGACTTTTTTCCCGCTAGTTTATTTATAGAATTCTAATACAAATTCAAACAAATACTTTTAATTTCCCTCAACCCCCTAATCAAATTGTACAGTCTAATGATTAATCCCCTCTTCCCCCTGTACATTTAAAATACCATTTTTATGAGGACTCAGTTGTTGTTGTTATGTGCCATCCAGTAGCTTGCTACTGATTGTGACCCTGTGTACAACTTTGAACCTGCTCTATCCTGAGCCAACCTTATGGTCTCTGACACACCTACCTTCATTCCCCCAGTCACTGAGTCAATCCATCTCATCCAGGGTCTTCCTCTCTTACGCTGTCTCTCCACCCTCCCAAGAATGATAACCCTCTCCAAGGACTGGTTCCTCCTTGCAGTGTGCCCAAAGTATGTCAAATAAAGCTTTAGAATCCTTTCCTCCAAGGAGCAGCTTGGTTTCACTCTCTCTAGGACTAACATGTTCATTAAAGAGAATTGATTTTTATTAGTATAAACAGTAATATACAACATCAGACATTATAGAAAAGTGTGTCAGTCTAGAGACTAAAGTGGCACCTGACCTAGGCCATGGCCTTCATAATTACTTGCTATACATCAGAGAGCTGGACTATGACTAAGGATGACTGAAGGAGAATTTATGCCTTTGAGTTGTGGTTCTGGAGAAGAGTATTGAATGTACCATGGACCGCCAAGAAAACAAATAGGTCTATGTAGGAGAGAGTGAAACCAAGTTTCTCCTTGGAGGCTAGGATTTTGAAACTCTGTCTCACATACTTTGGGCATGTGGCTAGGAGGAACTGGTCCTTGGAGAAGGACATCATGCCCAGAAGACAGAGGGACAGCATAGGAGAGGAAGACCCAACTGGAGCAATGTGGGTAGGTGTGCTTATAGTCAGAGAGACAGGCTTAGGACAGGGCAGGCTTCAGAGCAATAAATTTGATTTTTTATTTTGGTTACTCACGACTGCAGTCACGTAAGGGAAGTTTTCACATAAGGGAAGTTTTTGGGTCGTGTTTAATGTGTGTTACTGTTCTCGCCCCCCCCCCCCAAAAGCGGGTGTCCCTTGAACTTCTGATCAAGGGTGGAGACCTGCTGAAGGGTGTGTCTTTTTAAAAAATTTTAGAATGAATATTCTTCAGGTGACACAGCAATTGTTTGTCTATTTGCTGTCCTGAAGAACTTGGAGTTGCTGTGATGCCGAACACTGTGCCATGTTGTTGTTGTTATGTGCCGTTGAGTTGCCTGCGACTCATAGCGACCCCTGTACAACAGGGGCCTAAACTCTGCTCTGTCCTGTGCCAATCGCACTGTCTCTGACACTCCCATCCCAATTATCACAGTCACTGAATCAATCCACTTCACAGAGGTCCTTCCCCTCCTGCGCTGTCCCTCCACCCT